GACTGGAAAGATGTGGGCTCCCCCTTGTCCCCTTGTTCATAATAAATCAACACATCAATATAGGACTGTATGCTGGAGAGCTAGACAGCTTTTTCAAGTCATGTGAGAATATTCACAATTATCCTGATTCACGATTATCACGATAATGGAATTTCACCACGATAAATGTTTAAATGTTAAATTATTGTATATCTTCCAATCCCTAGTCTTGGATAACCGATCGTGTTGTTTTTAAGTCTTTTAATATTTGTGCAGTACACCTTGGGTTTTTTGGGAAGAATTCCTCTTCTTGTGAACAAGCTTTTAAAATTGTTTTTAAACTGACTCCTTAGTTACTAAAAAGAAGTATCATCAATTGTAAGCATTAATGTTTCAGGAATGGAGTACTGTAGATGGAGCGAATCGTTTTGACTATATTTTTTAAGTTAAATTATTACAGTTATATCAGTGTTACTTTATAACAGGTTTATGCTATGGCGATCAGTTACAGTATAATAATAAAATGTAAAGACACCAGCCAGAGGCACAAATATTTCTATCTTTTATCTTTTAAATATCTTTTTTGAGTTTTACTTTATACATGCTTTAAATTTATTCCTCAGTTTTGCATAACAACTGCTTACAGTTTCAAATTTTAATCTTGTTCATGAAAGTGAGGAGTTTGATTTTATATTGGTAAATTTTTTACTATTACTGTAAATTTTATCATATTTGGAACTGTAGGCTGACTTTTCTTCTACGGTAAAGCTTTTAATGTACATGGCTGTATACCTTTAAATCTTTCGAAAATCAAATGTTGTAATGGAATTTCACATTGTTTGTACTGATGATTCAGCCAGGAGAGCATCTTGCCCATTCAAGGGTTATAAATAAAACATTTTCTAACTGCTGTTAATGTAACATGAGAAAATATTACCATGCACAATATCCCACTCCAGTAATGTATGTCGTAATAAAGACCTGATGCAAATGTATTCAAAGACAATAAAGGACTTTGTTCATGACATACAAAAAAATTAAAAAATAAATAAACAGTTGAATTTCCAATTTCAAACACTGTTTAACATAAAAATGAAAAACTCCCTGTCAAAAATATAGATACACAAAGTCACTATAATGACAGTACATTATTTCCAGCCTTTGGCGATATGCCTAAACATATACATTCTTGCTAATACACCCACCATGTCAACAGCTTTATACTGCATATGCTTTAAAAAATAGGTGCTCACTGTGTGTGTGTGTGTGTGTTTTTTTTATTTATTTATTTTTTTACAGCGAGAGAGACATAATTCAACTTTCTCATATTCTTGTACACAGAGGGAGGTAGATTGATTCCCTGCCCTGGTGTGAAGCTGATGACTAACAAAACCGCTCTTTTTCTCTCTTGGCATCCGACAGCACCGGGGTGGCTGCGGGCTCTAAAAGCACCGATACACTCTGCGGTTTATTTTTGAACTGTCCAAGGTCATTGTTCACTTTGACAGATCACAAAAGCAAAGGGGGGGGGATCGGCTCCTCAGACCCCCATTCAACACTAGCGTAAGCCGTGTCTTGACCCTCCCATGTGGGGTTATAACTGACACACATTCTGTACTCTGTATGAGGATGTGTGTGTGTTTGTGTGTGGTCTCACTGTACCGTGCTCAGGCTGAGGGGTGGGTGGGAAGGTTTGGGGGGCTTAAGGATGACAAAGTGCAGGCCCTCTTTGATCCTCAGCCCACATACTAAGCTGAAGTGCTTTATAGTGAGGGGAATTACCTTTGATGTCCACCTGAGGATCTTACGTGCCAAATGGATCCACATTTCTATCATCCACAGATCTGAGAGGGTCATGATATCTTTAATGTCTGTATGTTTTCCATACTGTTAGTATTTTTAGAGCAAGGTGATTACAGACCTGTCATTGTTGCAGCAAATTCAATTCATTAATTCATTAGTTTTTAAGGAGCCCTATTTGACATTTTTTAACACAGGATTTTTTTAACAAAATGTAATCCTAGGAAAAATATTTTTTCTCTCAGTTGAAAGTTGAACAAAGTATGTAATGAGTCATTTACCATTGACTTCTACTAAACAATTTCTGTCTGTTTCATGTGTAAGTATTTTCTCTTTTTTAGTTCAAGTTTTAAGTTCTAGTTCAGGTCACATATTATACAGGTACAGTCATAGTGAAATGTATTTCCGTACATTTATGCATTTGATGTGAAAACATATTAAAAAAGGAAAAAAAAGAAATGTATCTCTAAGTTCCTGCAATTCATTCGATAAAAATAGTGTAAAATAGAATAGGAATAAAGAATAGAAAATGTAATAAACAATAATGGTTACTTATTATTGCAATGCAGCAATATAATATTTATACAATGAATCACTGAAGACAAAAAAAAAACATTTAGTACATTACTAGGAGTAAGAATCGATGTTCTATCAGAGAGTGCATGTGAAGGGCTATGTCTATCAGTCTGTATGTGGAGGTGTGTAAGGGTTGAGAGGGGAGACGGAGAGAGAAAACACAAATGGTCACATAGGGACAATAATACATAACAGTATTTAACGATTTCTTTGACTCAGTTTTCACAGTTTCAATTTGCAAAACTTTTAAAATCTCACACAGCACACAAAAAAAAGATCTGAATCTGAACTGAGTGAGTTTATGTTTATCACTGAATTTGAATCATCATTTAATTTAGAATAAAAGTGCCATTATAAAATAATTATGTGAATACAGTCTACAATACAGACTTATTAACAGTAACAATTTCTATTTTAGACATCAAACCTTAAATATTACAGTCACTTGTAAGTTTACTGTAATCACCTTAAATACAGTAATACTCAAAAGCTGCTTTCAGCAGATAAATGTGAAAAGCATTCTTCTAGAGTCAAACTCTGCACATACATCATTCAAACAGCACACTGTAGGAACAAGAAGAAACACTGATCTTTGAGTGGAGGGGGACTTTAAAGAGAAGAATTTAGCAAGTCAGTTTAGCACTTTGAAACTTGAAGCTTGTGAAAACTGAGCCAGCATTTGTTTAAGGCTGAGGGTGGGGTGGATCACAGGCCAAGTAGGTCTGAGCAAATAATTTCAGTCAGTCCATAAAAACTGGCATGAATAGTAAAAATATTTAAAATAAAAAAATTGATAATTACTGATACTGTATGATAGTATTTAATTTTACAAGGATTGGTGTCATATACATTTCTTGACATGCAATTTCTTTTAAACACCAGGGAATAATGTTGTGGCTCATCTGCATCATGGGTGCCACTTAACTCTGGAGAGAACTGTTGTGGTTCTGAGTTTCCTTGAAGTTCCTCAAACATCAGCTGTAAAGTCCTGCTTTGTCACTGTTTAGTCATTTTGGAGCCAGATGAAGCGGCGTAGTCAGAGGATCTACCCTTTGAAAATGTTTGGCCCGCAGACTGCTGACGGATCCGGCAAATCCTTAACAGACTGAATGTGTTTTTATGAGTCTGTCTGACCACGGTCAGTGTGTAATTAAGAGCTGACTCAACGCAGAACTGTTAATACGAAACAGTAAACTACAGCAAGTAAGCAAAAGCCCTGTAAAACACTACTAATTAGGGACTATTAAATGGTTGTGATCTACTTAAGATAAGATAAGAAGGTGTTCATTAGAGACAAAACAAGCTTTTAGTTATGATTTTCTTTTAAAGGCGAAAACTAAAGGCATTCATATCTTGCATGTGACACAGTCCTCGGTACTGGACTTTTGCCATGGGGAATTTCCATAATGCAGTTCCTTATTTATCTTCCCAGTATCCCACACTAGTGTTGGTTTTGCTTTATCTTTAATTTTAATTTCTAACCCCTGATTAACTCCCTGACCTAGAAAAGAAAAACAAGACTGGTTTAGAAGAAAATGTCTAAATAATAGTGTCCCATTATCATTTCATGCTAAATGATATGAATGTGTGTTGTATATATGATTATACAGTGCTGTATGTCTGCAGTGTCTTACCTCTGCTCCTCTGTGTGAACATACAGGCTGAGTTGCTGACCGGCTCCTCAGTAACTAACGTGGAGGAAGCACATCAGGCCGGTCTGGAGCTGCTGAAGCGGGGCTGTGGGTCAGTCATCATCACTTTAGGACCCCAAGGCTGCGTGGTGCTCAAGGCACAGGAGTCTACCTTTAAACATGTTCCAACTGCTGCCATCACAGCAGTGGACACTACGGTAAGCATATACTGGATATGTATTTTTTTAATCGTCATTATATTTCAGTTATTAATTTTATCATTTTAAATGTCTGGAAAAAACTCATCACAATCTCCCAGTGCCCAAAGGTGATGTCCTTGTCTTTTGCCTTGTTCGTTCCCACTAACATCCCAAAGCCTGAACATAGCCAATCTACCATGAAAATTTTGCAGAATCGTCACATTTCAGAAGCTTGGACCAGAGCATGTTTGGCCAAGTTAGCAGCTTCGGCTCTGTTGTTGATTGGTCGGTCCAACACTTGAAAGTCAACAACTAGAAAAGTGAATGTTAAGCTGTTAAATTATGAAGAAATGTATATTTTTCACAGGGAAAATCCTGATGTTTTCCTATAGCGCCACCATGAGTTTGACATTTGTGTTTTTCAGTACAATGTCTCAACAACTAGTAGGTTGGGTTGCAATGAAATTTGACAGACAATGCTGCAATCACTTGATCGCTTTTCATCTTGGGCCATCATCAAGTCATTTTTTAAGCACAAATACCACACGATCCCTTGTTTTAGCCTCTTGGTTTTGAGGATTTCTTGTTTTTCTTTCTTATATGACAGTGAATCAGTAATTAGGGGGTTGCTGTTTGAAGATATTGGGCCAGAGGAAATTGTAACAGGCTTTATTTTAGACCAAACAATTAATCGATTAATCATGAAAATAATAGCTAGCATTGTTATTGTGTGAATGTTTGCATGCTGACTTTAGCAGTTAGCTCAAACTACCACTGTGCCTAAGTGCAGCCCGCTGTTGTGGCTGTACACTCATAATCATCTTAATTTTATTTATTGATCGTTGACTCTATAAAATGTCTGAAAATAGTGAAAATGCCAATCTCAATCTCCCAGAGCCCATGGTGATGTCTTTGTCTTTTGCTTGTTTGGTCCCACCAAGATGCCAAAGCCCAAACATTTTTCATTTACAGTGATATAAAATCAGAAAATTGTCACGTTTCAGAGGATTAAACCAGTTTCACCACACAAGCAGCAGTCCATCACCAACCAACCAAATTTCAATTTATGTTCTATTTATAATGAAATAAAAGATAAAAAGTAGTAAAAAAAATATATTGCATTTATTTATATATGTGTGTGTGTTATAATATTTTTATTATTTCATAATATTTTAATTATATACAAATATAATTATCAAAAAGTCGTTATTAATAATAATAAATAATAAACATTTATATCTTGTCATATTTTTAACAATCATGTTGGCTATTTTTAAATGTTTTTCTATTTCTTTATTTCCAGTAGTAGGTTGTGACTGAGAAAATGGTAACTCACCATATTAGTAAAAAGGAAGAAAGTTTTAAATGGTAAATTATGCAAACCAGCCCACCTGCCACGGTACAGGCACTTAAAATATATCCTTTACAGCAACAACAGCGGAACAGATTATTTCTCACAGGAAATCCTCTGTTCCATAACAGTGTTGTCACACGTAACTTTTTATCTGCCCATTCATCGAACCCCTGGCGCTCTGAGCTCTGGCGGAGCTGCTAAGATTCTGTCTGTTGCTCGAGTGGAACGATTTAAGATCAATGGGGATGTGGTGACCACCGGCTGTTTCCCCTCCCTGATTCTAATCTTTTTAAGAGGCCAGCGTCACTTGACTCATTTCACACCGTCCTCTGTGGCTTGTTTTCGTCACAGGAACCCTTAGCTAGATGTTTGCGTTTCCTGTCTATGAGCAGTTTGTGGGGCATGTGTTCAACCAACCAACTACGTCATCGCAGAGGTGTTAATGCTGTTAATCACCTCTTTGTGCGTACCAGGTTTGATTAAAGAATTGTTTGTGTAATGGGTTCTTCTACTGAATAGTTCCCCTGGGTACTTTTCCAAAGAGTAAAAACTGGAGTAAAACAATTACTAGAATGCAGTCATAGTTTTACACGAAACCCACATCAGATTAAGGAAAAAGCGAAGAAGAAAGGCAGTAAAAGGTGAGTGTTGAGTGTTTTGGTGTGTGTGGCGGAGAGACAGAGACAGCAGTGTTACCAAAAGGAACTGCAGCTGAACTACACAGCCACTCGCTACCCCAGGTCACTTTGACATTTCAAGAACAAAGGTCTCGCTCTCTTAAACCTCTGTGCGACCTCAGCCGTACCCCCACATTTCTAAGCAGGCACAAATAACTTACCTTATTCACCAGCTTCAATCTCCCCACTTCCCAGTAGCCCCTGGGAGAACTCACCCACCACCCCTACCCCTCCCCCCTTTCCCTCTTCATCTCCCATGACTCACCTCTTGGGCCTGCATCAGTCAGCAGAAAGCTGTGGTCGGGCCTGCTGCATGTCCCCCCGCCGCACACACACACACTCTCTCACCCCACCCCTTCTGGTCTTTGATGGGCCCATAAATTCAGGAGTGTTTAACTCTTTTGGACATCATAATCCCTCTTCCAGTAAGCCCCTTTCTTTCTTTTACTGGAGAGAGGAAAAAAACAACAGGTTGTTATCAAGATCATTATTCACTTCTCTGAGCCTGTTCTGGTAACACAGGCCTCTTTAGTTATGATTACCTCTTGTGTTATTATAGCTGTGATTGTGTGTGTGTTTTTTTCTCTCTGTAGAAGTAGGGACGGAAATGTTTTTGAAAGATTGGCTCCAAGCTTGTCATCAGCAGCAGAATTTTTTTCTTGCAGCGACTCTCCAGATTTACTAGTATCGGACTGTGAACTGATGCTGCATTCTAGGCTGCGATTCTTCGATATCAACACAGTGAGTCACTTGCGGTTTCTCACTATTTTAGCTAAGCTGCCGTTCAGTTGGGCGCCGCGGGTGGCATCACCCACTGCTAATCAGAACGAACACAAATCCAGCTTTTACCCTTCTTTGGATGCATTTCGTCACTTTGTTTCGACTTGTCCCAGATGGAATATTTCTCTTTGATTGATCTAGCCCTGTTAATGTTGTGGCTGCTAAATCATTTAGCTCGCTCCTATACTATAACTATTTCATCATCTGCTCCTCCTGCAACTGTCTGAATAACACATTTCACACAAGCAATTATGGGCTGAGTCAGGGTCGGGAATCTGGATGACAAAGCAAATCCACTCATCTACTGTGGGTCTACCCCATCCCTCCCCCTTTATCCATTTGTCTCTCTTTTGTCTTAAATTGAGTACAGGCTTCCCTCGCTGAGATCAGAGCCTCGGCTGTTTCATGTGGACAGTTAGATGAGACTACACACACATACACACCCAGTGCCTTCTAGCCCCAGCAGGACTTGGGTGGCCTTCGTTACCACTGCTCCGGGAGGTCCACTGTGTAGGGCGAAAGGTAGACAGTGCTGTCTAAACCAGACATTACAGCTGCACGGTGGGTCTGGACAGTCAAATTATTCCCAGTCTTCTCCTGTGACTGGAGACATGTAAGGACCAATTGCACGATTCCTTCCTGGAAGCCAAAGGTAAGGGAATACCTCCTGAGCACTGCATTCCTCAACCCGGCAAGCTGTGGGTCAGCATGACACAATGAGAAAACTGCCACATCACCGTGTTTTAATGGGCTGCACATGCTGCAGCAGCTGCTGTTCCACAGCCCAGATGTTAGGCCAGTTCCCTGCCAGTGCAGTCGTGTCGATCAGCATTACACACAAAAGAGTGAAAGAGGGTTAAGACAAAGCACTGCGGATGGATCAAAGTTGTGAGAGCCCTAATTGGTCCAATTAAATGTGTTTCTGATCCCTGAGTCTTCCTCCCTCGTTACTTCTGACGAGTCGTCCCCGGCTGTTTGCAAGTCTTACTGGAAGCTTCCGGACGTGGAAGCCACGGTGAGTCATCGCTGCCCCTCAGTTGGTCTTTGCTCTCCCCAGGGTGCCTTTCATTGACAAAGGCTGGCGGCCTCAGGAGCTAACGGCGAACAGCTCCATCTGTCATATCAGGGGTGGGAGTCAGGATCGCGGGAGGCCTCCGGGTGAGAAATACAGTCACAGGTTCTGGAGGCTCGAAAGGTTCAGTGTGCACAGCAGACTCTGTAACATGGAAGATCTGCTGTGTGGAGCCCTTTATGAGATCTGCATTTTCTATAGGTTCTGTTTGTTGTTCGTGTTTGTCTTTGGTGCTCAGCGCTCCTTGCTGTGGTGTTTCTGCGCTGCACTTTACAAAGATCACTTGTCAATCAAAGCGTGTGGGCGCTACTGTTGTCTTTGTCCTTGGATTTTCTGTTGATGGACTTCTGAGTTTCTGTATGCGCTCCTTTGTTTGTCTGTACAGCCATGGTGGTTATTGCTGCTTGTGTTAACTATTCAGATTTTCTTCTATTTATTCTAAACACACAGCACTCATGCTGCTGTCAGAAGCATTAAAAAAGGTCACTTCCCTGGAGTGTTGTCAGTAAAGCCTACCAGATACTGCAAATGGAAAGCTTTCAGTAGCTATAGGTTTGTCACTGTTGTGTTAAATCAACCGAAGATGACTCATCCTAACGTAATTATAATTGAATCTGTCCTAAATGAGAAAAAAAAGGCTTTTAATAGATTGAATCAAACTGAACCAAAACTATTAAAGTTCCAGGGAGATTTTTAGAAGTAGTTTAATTCTCACAAAGCAAAAACATCCACTGGCTCTCTGATCGCATGCGTTCGTCGCAGAGTTACACTACAAACAAACTGAAGAGAACTTCCTAAACCATACTTTGTTAATTTGGTAAGCTTCTCGCAGACACACCTGCCATCCTAATTTCTAATTTCAGTCTGAGTGCCAGAGGAGAGCAGGCAGAGGAACAGCGCGCAGATCAAGACGCGGCGTACGGAGCCGACCAGTAAGAGCATCAAGCCTCATCCGCGGCAAGCACTTGTGTCACTTGATTGACAGGCCTCCAGATCTAACCTTCACCAAACTGTGTCGAGGGCAGCGGTGGCGGGGCTGAAGGGGGTAGCGCTTGTCAGCCCCGTTGAGCTTCATTCACTGGATCCAGTAGCGTCACATGCCAGTCTCAGGGAAAGAAACGTTGTTAGTAAGACAGAGAACGGTGGCGCATACAGTCAAGTGACCAAAAGTTTACATTGAAACAGTAAAGTCTTGTTTTGTTACTTATTTACATGTGGACTGGCCTAGTAGGAAATGACAAAAAACATCATATGAAAGTTAATTATTTTGCTGATTGTATGTCTACTTCAACAGTCCCTATTATAATCAATATTCTGGGATTTTTATATTAACAGTGGACCAAATGTCTACGTGTGATTCACATGCAGAGAATTAGCTATGCAGCGTTTTAGCGTCTTTTAACCCATTGTTTTGGTGTACAACTTAGGCTCTCATAAGCATTGTTAGCAACTAGCTGGCGAAAAATAGTGTAACATTTGGCGACTAAAAAGACAGACATTTCCTTCTGGAGTTAGTGGAGACTAACCAAACTAAAGAGAGAGTGAATATCGGACTTATATTTATAAGGTGGAGAGAACATGACGCCAAATTAATATTTTGTATGTTCTGGATTTCGTTCACCATAACCAGTTATTAGATGATAGTGTATCAGTGTTGTGTTGGTTCCAAGTAGTAAAAAAATCATTTAATGTGAATCATTTGCATTAATTATTCATTCAAGATTACAAATTGCAATTTAGGAATATTAAGGAAATACACAAATTACAACAACAATGTAATACCCACTGGGCTGCTGTGAGGACCAATTTTAGACAGGATTTTGGAGACACTTTCTTGCTTTTTTGAGAGGGAAATGGACACTGAATACTTACATGATATATACATTAATTTTAAAATGGTGGCACTTAGTAATAAGTAATATTCAGCTGGATGGACATATATTGGTACGGAAGCAGATAAATAAAAAAAACAGATAAAAAGCCATAATAATTTTATTGTTTAAAAATTTCATATAATCAGTTATAATAAATACCTGAATAGCTATTTGATGTTGAAATTTAAATACCACTGAATTTATAGAATTAAAATATTTTACTTTGAAAGCCATCTATCAAAATGGGGGTCTAATATTATTTCCAGCCATAAATTCTGATAAAAAATGCAAATATCCATTGTTTTAGATCAAACAAAATTTTAAAAAAATTACTTAATAAGAATAAAATGTTCAGTTTAGTTTTGGTATTATTTTCATCAGTCCAACTTAAAAAAAAATATTTTTTTTTCTCAATCAATGGGAATGTCGTTTTTTTGAATATTGGACACTTAATAATAATAACTTAATATTGTATTTGAGATTGTTTTCAAGCTTTTGAAATTGCACAACTTGAGATTACCTTCTGGAGATTTGAAACAGTAAAATTCAGAGAACATACAGTCCTGTAGGTGTTTTTTAAATGTTTCAGTGCTAATATTTAAGTGATTTCAACATTAAGTATTCAGATTGAATGTATCAATTAGTTATATATCAGTTGCTTCTAAAATTAAAATCTTTACAGCCTTTTTTGGCCTCCATAGTACAGACACTGATATTGGTGATCTGCAAAATTCAGTCCGGTCATTTAAATGGCTTTTCACCTAAGAAATGGGTTAGGGTTAGGGGTTGTATTTGTATAAACACTGTCTAAATGTAAATACCATCTATGGGTTTTCACACCCTTCAAAGGATGCAATTCTGAGCTTGACTGTTCATGTTAAATTCTATTTTCAGGATGAGATTTGTTCAATTTTAACTGTCAGCACAAAATATTGACTGACGTTTAGCTTAATACTAACATTAGCTTTCAGAAACCTGTTTCAGCCTCACCCCACTGTGGCCTGACTAGACAAAGGTGGTTGTTTTAGCATGGATTTGGTCATAGATTACAGTGTAAAAGAAAAAAATGAATAGGCCTGTGCAAAAGGAATGATGTATCCCCCTGACTATACAGGCCGAAATGTTTTATTTTCTATCCCCCTATCATCTAGTTGTTGAAACTGGCCCCCTCACTGCCCTGTGCTCCACTGGCCCTCGGCTCCTAAGCGTCAGCCCCCACTCAAGAGTGCTATCATCATTTCAACCGCAACGTGTGAACTGGGAGACAGGCCAGACTCAAACCAGTGGGACTGCTTCGCCAAAGCCTTATTTCCAAATACTGGCTGTGTTGTAGCCCAGCCCAGCTACCAGACAGGAGACATAAACACGCCATGGCTTTAAACATGGAAATCCACCAGGCCTGTGAAATGTTTGAGCTCTGACCTCACTCTTTCCAGCATCCCTCCAGTCCAGGAGTCACACCAGTGGCATGCACCGGGGTGGGGGAGGGGTGCAGTAATGACCTTTCAAATGTCAAATCAGGATTTTTTTTTCCCTCTATCATCTGGTTCATCACAGAATGCTTTAGGTGCCTGCAACACAATTGTGCCCTCCAGCTGCCCTGTCTGCCGTGGACCCTGTTTGGCCCTCTCTGTTCCTACTGCCCTATTGATCACAGGGCACTGCCCTCCCTGCCCGGTCGGGATCAGGGTTAGGGTTTTTGTTTTTTGCCCCATGTCACTGAATCATCCTAACACAACTGACAAAGGGGTTACTTTGAGGTTGAAGGGCGACTGATGTCGGGGAGGGGAGGGGGGGGCTGGGGGTTGTACAGAGGTGCTCAGAAGAGAGAGTGCAATGAAATTCCTTTTTGAGAAGCCGCAGTAATGAGTAATGGAGCGGTCGTTGTTTTAGAACCACGCGGTCGGGGGGCCGTTTGTGGTTTTAAACATTGAGCGTGTCCCCCCCGCCACCATACCTTGTTGCCTTTTCCCATCAGCGAGCCCTCCCCTTCCTCCCCCTCTCCCCCCAGCATCCCTTCCAGCCAGCCGCTCCAGGGCGTAGACGGCACATTCCAGTTCTCTATCAATAGATGAAGAGGAAAATGCGATGATTTATCTGTTTCGAAGATAGCCAAAACAGAGCTGTTGGCAGTTATGTGAAGCACTGGATGAGAGATTAAAGCAGCCCAGTGTTTGCTAGTTCAGCTAGACTTTGAAAAGCAGCAAACTCAAGAGGGTTTTTTTTTTTTTTTGTATTTGTTTTTGATTTGAAAGTTGTTTCAGAAAAAAAAGATCAAATACAAATAAAACTTAATTTAATTAGATTAGAATTTATTTCAATTTGTGGGATAATACAGTATGATGTCATAGGTAGTCTTTTTCAAATTCATAGGTCAGTTAAATATATAAATATACATTTGGCCTTTCCTCATAGTTGAGTGAAAAATGTTTTGTTTTTAATATTAAAGGATGACATGTCACCATCATTCAACTTGTTTCACAAGATTATTACATCTTATCTATCATTCTGCTGGCGTTACAACAAGGTCTGTGATTATGATTAATGCCCATAATACAGATGTTTCTCTCAAAGAGCTGACAGAGACACACTTTCACACGAGGTAACATTTCAGTAGCTCATCTGAAAGTGGCCTAGACTTCAGGCAAGACTGACAACAGCTGACAAATGCCACAGCACCCCCTACTGTTGACAGTTTATTGTATTGCAAAATCAACCATCCCATCTTTTTAAATATACCTATTGTAACTATATTTTTCAAAATACAGTGTTAAACAGTGAATACATGGATTTTCTGTTGCCCCTCACATACACTGGATTTTTTTGATTTTGCTGAGCTCGGCTGTAGAATTACACAGTAGACACCACAGGGGAAATTTAATAACGCATTGTTGTAATATTGTTTCTTCCCAGGGTGCTGGAGACAGCTTTATTGGAGCTCTGGCATTTTACATGGCTCATTATCCCACAATGCCTCTGGAGGAGATGGCCCGCAGAGCCAATCAGGTGGCAGGAGTGAGCGTGCAGGCCGTCGGCACGCAGAAGTCTTACCCCGTCAGAAAGGACCTACCGGCTGAACTGTTCTGAGAGCAGCAAGTAGACACCAGTGTGAATGGACCAAGGCTGACCTGGGAATCAAACTCTTTTAAAAAGGATCTGCTCTTGAGAAATCCAAGAATGAACAATATTGTGTAACTGAGGATTGTTAATGATGCAACCAATGTTACTTAATTGTAAAGCTGAACATTCGACTCTTAATGTAACGGTTATGTGAATAGTACCTGCAAAAGACAATTATTGAGTTTATAAAACCTCTGATCTCACTACTTTTGAACTATTTAATAATTGACAAGCATCTTAACGCTTAGCTTGCATGGTGCATAACTGCCTTTAATTTATTTAATTACCCCAAGTAAATCATATTTCACAAATGGGAGGTGTCACAAAGTTTGACTGAATCGTAATCATTAATACTATGTAGAGCTGTTTAATAATATTTGTAACATCAAGACAGCTGTTGTGCCCCCAATAAATTCATCACTTTTACACACGAGTGGTATTTTGTTTACAGTGGCAGGAGTCGGGTTTCTTCAGTATCGGTCGGGGTTGCATCACGCTGAACTGCTGCTGAGCAGAGAGTAGAGGCCTTCTGACAGATCCAAGAAGAAATCCTCTGAAAACGTGTCAGCAAGCCCAACAGAAATGTTGACTGACGAAACACCTTGTATAATCCATGGCAATAAAAAGAGTCTGTTTAAACCTGGCAGGTTTATGTTGTCCATAGGTTTTGGTGCACTGTCAGATCGATCTGATCTTCTTCTTCTCCACGAACAGGACGTGTTTGTTCACTGCAGACACAGAAAGCAGATTGGAAATAGAAGCCACGAACTTTTGTCACAAAACAATGCAGTGGAGAATGGGTGGCACATAGGAGCTTGAGCTTGTAGCTGATATGGATTCAGACAGTGAACTGCGCTCATCCACTTGTAACTCATTTATATGACTTTGCTAGAAATACATTAACCACTGGGATCAATATATTTACATATATACAAATACAGCCCCAATAAACATTTCTGATTCCTTCAACTGTTTAAATACATTACAGTGCATCATGACATTCGAACTGGAGTCTTATGGGGTAAGAAACATTACATATACACATACATCTGTACTGCAACATGCTGCTTACAATATATATAACCTGGTCTTACCAGATTTGTGAGTAATTTGTAGTTCTTATACAAAATGATCTACTTTTCCACAACCATTATTGCACAATATGAATACATATAAAGCAGTTTCCACATGATAGCCTGAATGCAGAGATTTCCAATGTCAACTTGTTTTCTGTTAACTATTTCTCATCGAAGCAAACTAGTATTCTCTCCATGGTCTGCCTTTAAGGTTTCTTAACATGGTCGGTTTTTTTTGTCCCAGCAGCTGATTCATTAGAAATGATGTGGAATGAAACAGCATCCTGCTACAATGCAAACACCACACGGTGCTTTTGTTGCCCAGTGGCAGCTTTGAAAGGCTTGTTCTAAAACCGTCACAACCTGGTAAAGTCACCCTAAAAATGGCTGCCCTTTAATTTCTTCCAGGACAGACTCGAGCTCACTGGAGGAGGTCTGAGTGCAGAACCCAGCTGTCAGTCACTGCTTACCAAATGGATCATGTTTACGTATCACCAGTTTGTCTCTGAGACGGTTCCTCTTTGTGTTGAAGAAGTAGCCTGTCCCTGCAGCGCTCACCATCTGCACCAGGACGGTCCTGATGGAAGAGGACATTAGAGGACATTAGTGGACGTTAGTGGACGTTACAGTGGCTGCAGGACTGCCTGTACACGGTATTTGGTATCGTTTAGCTGGGGCTAAACCTTTCTGTCAAACATTCCAGTGACTTCCACTTACTTTGATTTTGCCTTGGCCACTGAGTAACGGAAAAGAGCAGAGGATATGTATTAGAGTCAGACAGATCAACACAATGAATGCTTAACCAACTCACTAAATAAGTCTAACACTAACCGCTAAATACACAACAATACAAGATAAACGCGACAGCATTGGAAACTCACAACACGTTACGTTGAAAGCGCCACAGAAATACTGATAGCTAATATATACAGTCAAT